AATATATATATATATATATATATATATATATATATATATATATGAATACTAATTTATTTCAATCTTTATATATTTCGTAAGACGAATATGTAATTATGAAATTATGTAATGAAGAATACTTACAGGTCCCTGATGATAATTCCATCCGTGCGCTACTTTAGTATCAGTGCTGTCATTGGAATTATCGTAATATCCGTTATAAGCCCAATCTGCAGGATCTAGCGTCTTCATTCCAAGTGGGCCTAGGAGTATTTCCTCCGCTTTCTTCAACGCTGTCCACGCGTGATGAGGATTAAATAATTCCGGAGCCTATTTATAGATCGTTACATTATGGATTTGTTGTATCGGAAATATTTCTCTTCTATGACTTTGCAGAATATTTTAAAAATTACGCCAATGATAATACTTACAACGACCATAGCGATGGGGAAGTTAGGCCGCAATTGATAATCCGCCCATTCCTGCGTCGCTCCATGGCTGTCCTTGAATATGCCTCGTCGATGAATCAGATTGGGTTTCAACTCGTTCTGTGTCGGAATTTCATTTACGTAGAAGTATTTCTCGAAGTTTGCTTGAATTCTGTCAGCCCACTGTTTATAACTCCAAGTTATTGTGTTACCTATAGTAATTATAATCAGAATGCATAGTTGATTATATCTAAACAAATAATGTACTCGATAGTCTTACCATCGCGATTTTTCCGTTGAACGCTACCATACGGAAAAAGATTTTGCTTATACAATTCAGCCAGAAAACTCAGGACGCATTTGCTGAGTCCGACTAATTCGACAGCGGAACCGTCTCTAGGAGTGGCCGGTTTGCCTTTATTACCAGCTTTCTCGGAAGATCCCATCTTGTCCATCCAAGTGCCACAATTAGCTTCATTACCACCGAACACAAAACCAGTCTCGGGGTGTATGCCGATTTGATTATTAAATCCACGATCAGTCATGTGTTCGTCGATCTGTCTTCCGGCGTTTCTTTCTCTGAAGCACAGACCTTGAAAATGTACCGAGAGTGCTTCCTGCATTACTTCGTGTAGAGGTTGATCCTGAAATCCATTTATATGACATTTATATGTAGCTTTCAATTTAAATTAGATAAATTAGATAGATTAATTAAATTTAAATAAATAAATCAGTTGATTTTTAGAACATACATGTTGACCCGCCGGCAAAGCTGGTGAGTCATCAGTCGGATATAATCTTGAAACTTTATCGGATAGGATGTTCAAACCGTCCGGAACTTCTTCGACGTAACATTTTATGGTGTAAAGCCACCACCATACAGCATCGCGGCAATTATATCTGTTACAAAATAAAATCGATAATAAAACTAAGATTAAAAATGTCTAAAGCGCTATTCTAAAAATGTATATGCTTTAAAAGATATTTTGTACCTTGCATTGCTTCCTTTATCGAGTAGATTAGGTATCAAACCATGACGCAAGGTACCAGCGAATCCAAGGATTATGAATCTCGCTTCAACGTGTCTGCCCGTCAAAAGCAACAGTCCTCTTAAAGCAATAAAGGTATCCCTACCCCAATTTCTCATGTAACCTGTAGTGAAATGCGGCAAGCCGGCCGATAATGTTAAACACATTTGCTTAGCCACGCCATCGTGAATTTTGGTTTTCGGCTTAGGTGGATTGAGATTCGGCGACAAATCCGGCAATTGCGACGATTTTATTATACCGCCCATTTGTATCGAGACCAAGCTCAATAATTTAACAAACGTAGTTCCATTCTTTACAAAGCTAAAATAATAATAGATGGCAGGTAATACATTAATATATAATTATTTATTGAATATTCTAATCTTTAAACATAATAAAAATCGGAGAACTTATAATTTTCTTCTAACGAGTCAATATTTATCTTGGTGCTTACTTTGACATTAAACTGTTGCAGTGATCTAAAAGAATCATATAAACGTTCACAATTATAACATCAAAATAACACGGAACAAGATATCTCGGGATTAACTTGAATGGTTCCATTGCTTGTTCTAGCCACATTCCAAGTGGTTTAGTACCGTCATCCTCTTTTAGACGCTGCCACACGTAATCTGACAATTTTTTAAATTTCATTTTTATCAGAGATGCTAATATTGTCATTTATCATTATTTCTTAGAAGTGCTTTGATATATTACCTATCAACCAATTACCCTGTCTAAGATTAACGCATAGGGGATGTCCTAGATCATTATTTGGACGAATGTCAGCCAATAAGGATATAACACCTGATTTGAAAATGAAGTGCTTATTAAACGACAACAAGATACAAAGATGCAACTCGTACCAATATATATTGATATATTGAGTCGCAATTAAAATAATATATAAAATTGAAATATATTTTATGTATCTAATTAAATATTGCAATTTGTCACCTTGCAATCCGGCATATACAAAAGGTCCATATCCCGGTACATTGTATACCCCAATTCTGCCTTGAGTTTCGTCACGTTCCTCTTGATCGCACCTATATAATGCTTTATTTAAATCTGAAAAGTCCATGCGAGAGACTATATCGTGTAAATCTGATCTCTCATTTGAAGTAATTTCCGAAATAGTATTTTGAAGTTTCATCAAAGCAGGAACTATATTCGCGTGAAGGGCCACTCTAAAATTAAATATTCATGTTATCAGAGATATCGCAATTTCGGGAACAAGAATTTGCAATTTATACCGTATAGCTATAACGAAACCAGGTTGGAAGTCCACAAAATTAAGCTGTGTAATTTTGGGATCGCCGGAATCAACTTTTTCGATCATTGTAGAATCGCAGCATTGTATGTGTTGTTTAAGATTTAATGTGTATTCAGATAATCCATTTATGACATTTTCGTCCTTCGTATATTTTTCAGGTAAAAGGTAACGTTTTTTGCCATTTCTGCAAAATGACATCGATAAGTAAATCTGTAAGTCTTCATCTTAAAGAATGTTGATAATCACTTACATGATATTAATATGTGAGAGCGACGCTTCTAAAATAATTTCTTCTACTATGCCTTCCACTCTTAAAGGTTTCACGTGCCTTCTCAAATCATGAGCGTTAGGGTCAGGGTGATTAAATGCCGTGAATGCGACTAGAACTACACTTTCATGAGTAGTCGGCGAATGTCTTGTTACAGCTACTATGTCAGTATCTATTTGATCGACAAATACCTATAAATCAACAAAATGAATGTTAAACAATATTATTAATAAACATTGACTACATAAAAATATGAAAAATTGACGAACATACTTGCGAAAATTCTTGTTGACCGAGCGCATAATGTAGATCATTCAATGCTTTCTTAGCTGCAATTATACCACTTTTTGAATTAATAAACTTAACATCGTCCAATAAATCATTATCTGTCCAGGAAGTATACTGCCTTTTCTCATCTACTACGTGTATCTAAGAAAAAATAAAATTTTGTAAATATATAGGATAAAAGAGTATACAAAGATTTAGATTCGCTCTATGAGCTTACATGATGAGATACTAATTCGTCATATCCGCGATTACTGCCGCTGGCGCAGCATGCCATCGATACGAGCGCGGCGCTTGGGAGTAGATCAAAGGTACTCCGTTTCTCTACTGGACTAGGATTGTCGTGAGTCACATCTAGAAACAGAGCGTGAGCGATGCTTGGCACTAATGGACGTTTTCGTGACTGCAGGAATGCTCCAACTGGTTCCCCTCCGTATCGATACACTAATCTCCCTTGTTCATGGCTATCCCATGCAGACATTGCTTCTACAATATAAAACACACACACATACACACACACAAACACACACATCATATATATATATATATATAACAAATTACGTCAAGAATATTAAGTAGACAACAATTTTTGAAAGAATGACAACCTCTAATTAAGGATGTAATGCCAAGACGATTTACAAAAATATTATCCTTTTGATCAGAGTTGGTGAACAATTCTGCGACAACATAGAGATCCGGACGAACCCGTCGTGCAGCGTCTAGCATATACTACAAGAATTGTGTATTTTAATATGCTATATGATATTAATGTCGTTTACAATTATGTAAATACCTCAGCGACGGGTATTGGTGTGGAATGGCAATTGTCTAATCGAACACCATCGAATATCTGTGCCGTTTGTTCTACATAAGCCGTCATGTGCTGCCATAAAAAAGGACAATCCTCTGGTTTTTGTCCATATCTATGACAATTACGTTAATGTAATACTTTATATATTTTATTTTTCATTGATAATTTACTATAAATAATATTTAAATATTTTACCTGAGTTTTACGCTATCTCCCCAAGCAATAAGTTCTCTTCGAATGTACACGTTGGAATCAGGCTCCGCGAAATTTTTCAAGGGATCGCCGTTCATGACCCAACCATTGTGAGCCATGAGATAACATCCGTTATCTGAGTACATTATGCTTTCTCGTTCTGTTAAAGATTTAGGTGCTCCATAATCGGTGAAATATCTATAGAATGTAAATTTAAATTTATCATACTAAGGGATCCAAGGATCCTCATAGATATTATGATAATGTTTGCATTTACAAATTTTAGTAAAATTACCTAGGAACAAGAGGGTTCTTTTCGCTAATTTCCTTAATCCTTGGACCATCGTGTTGTATTCTGAAATATCTTATATTAGCAATAGAATTCTCGACGGCGGCATTCAGATGATTCCGTACGTCGTTCATAATAGCTTCGTTGAGTTCTTGTAATTTATTCTTCAAGTCTTCTGCACATCGTTTCAGACGAGTCTCCTCATCAAAACAATCAGCTCTGTATAAAGTAAAATAATTATGCACAAACATCTATAAGTGTGGACGTAGAAAATATATATTGCGTGATGCATTATTGTATCAACCTGTACCTGTACGTATTATATTTTTTCAAGGCAAGCTGCATATTTATAGTTGATTTTAATCGGCGGTAAGCGGGATCTTGAATCACCGCAATGTCTTTGATTGCCGTATTGTTCACGTCTTGTGGCATTTCGTTGCGTGCCAAACTTAAGAATTCCGCAACAATTTCATTGACATCGACAATATACATCTCATGTATGTTTACAAGCGGCAAGAAGTGTGTATGAAGAGCGTGACGAATCGCCTGAAATGTGTTTGATTGACGCGAGTTACATTGAATGGAAACATACAGGAACGAAGAATGAAATTTCAATCGTATGGAAAATAATGTCTAACTTACATTTAGATGATCCTCGGTCTCGACTACAGTGGGAATTCCTTTAAACTCCCATTCTCCGGAGACTACTTGCATTGTTAATTCAAACAATACTGCATCCAAGATGTACGCTGGACGCATATGAGGGCTGTTGATGCAATTATACGTGCATTCCGGATGAGAAATCAGAAAAGGACTTTCGTTCGCCGTATGATTCAAAACAATATCACAAATACTCAACATCTGTAATAGACAAGATAATCAAAGATTACACCATAAAGAAATATGGATTTTCTTTTCTTAGTTTTGATAAACGATAATTTACCTTCCACTCAGTTCGCATTTTGTTTATAAACATTTCGATATCATAATAAGTAATTGTCTTATTATTGTCATTAAAAACGGGATTGAGCTTAGTCTGATCTTTCAGACTGTATGACGATTTCGAATGTCCCAGTTCCTAAAACGTTAAATTCATTTTATTGTAAGCATTGTATTCTTGTGTCATATCATTATAATAATAATTACGGGAGTATTACCTGTATTGGCGTAAAGTGAACTGCATTATATCCAGAATTCCGTGTTACTAATAATTTACTTTCCCACATAGAAAATGGTCCTAAACACTTTGCCAGAACCGTTTGCATTTGGATGCAATCTAGAGGTAGTTTCTCTCCATCTTCACCTACTTTTAACTCAGGATCGACTAGCAAATACCCGGATGCAACAGGCTTTATATCTCCCTCAATTCTGCAAAGCATTGACGTGCCGTTTCTTTACCGAGAAGTAAAATCTTAATATTACGTGCAAAATTTTACTTACTGATCGGTGACGTAATAATGGAATGACCCGGCCAAAGTTAAATGTATACTCGCCGTTTCGTCAACCCATTGCAACTGATAATAACTGTGCCTTTCGAATTTCTTGTCGGCCGACAACGGATGATTTATAAAGACATCAAGCGTTTTTCCGAGAAGGGAAGCTCCAAGTCGAAACTCAACTGTCCAACCTACGAGGAATATACAAAATTATTTATGGTAAAAATATGTTGCAAAAAAAAAAGAAACATGTCGAAACGCAGTTTAGCAAGGGTAACAGGCTTTGCAACAGGAGGAGCAAAATTTCTTTTCAAAAACCTTTTTTCAATCTATACAATATCCCATCCAGATGTTCCCCATCATTCACAGTCAGAACCCTTATCTGCTCATCGGTGGAGCGTGATAATGACGAGTGTCGGTGCATGCTTTCAATTATTCTCTGAAAAACACGAAAAAAGTTTCTATATTAAAAATATAACCGGCATCACTACGCTTTGAATCAGTACGAACTAAATACGTCTACGAGAAATATTAGAAATGGAATATTTTCACCAGGTTCCAGGAGAGCAGATTCGCTGGGGGTTTCCGAAGGGTTGGTACTCACGCCTCAAGCGTAAGAACCGGATGTGCACTTAGCCGGCAGGGTATAAGCCTTAATATAAGTTATCGGCATAAAGCGGTTAGCAAGCGTGTATGATATTACGTTACGGTTGTTTCTGCTGTGCGAGCACATATAAAAGCGACAGCTATTCTTACCCTAAACATACTAGGATTACAATACCACCGGCAACCGCTTTTTGCCATAAGACTTGCCCCGCTGACTCTAATGAATACGGCAAGCACAAACGTATCTCCCATTGCCATCGAACGTTTCTATCGCTAATGCTTTTTTTACCAAATTTTTTTATAATTCTCGTTAATCCTTTGCACATTGTACATGTACGCTAGAACTTACAATATTCAATGCTTCATCGAGCCATTTATGGATAAGCTGCAGGATGCATCTAAAAATCCTTAAGAGCATTTTTCTCATAATGCAAAAGAAGCGTTTTATTCTTCGGGCCATTGTCAATGTGAGTAAACTTGATTGCACGCTTTTAACTCATCGACAAAATGGAAAATTTGTTAGAGAAACGATACTGCTGCGCCTGCCGACATTTTATTATATGTAAGCAAAATCCTTTAAGCGTGCCTACCTATAACAGATGTATTAAATTAAAGATATAAAACGTAAATCATATTTTACGTGCGTTTTAAGACAGGGAACTTTCGATATTATGTAATAATTTTTAAAAACCGGATATTTCAATTAGAAAAATAAAATTTCAATATTACCATATTTTTCGCGATACATACAATATTGTTCCATAATTTAATTAACAAAAGAAATTAGTGAAATACTTACATCGCGCATATATTTTATGAATATTAAATATTATATTTTTATTGTACATATATACAAACACACATTATAGTAACAAGCAAATAATCTTTATTAATTTTTCGTTAACAATTATTATTTTAATTTATACATACACGTTTTGTAAAAGTGTATCATTACGCAATTATACAATTACTGTTCTACGTATCACGCACTTTATTTTTCACATATAAAAAAAGAGATTTTTATTTGCATAAAAAAGCTTGCAATAAGGCTTAATTAATAAATTCTAAGACTAATAAATTCTTGTAAGATTAATATCCATTTCTTTACCAATATAAATTTAATCTTTAATTTCGGTTTAATTTACTTTTTTTCAGTTCTTAGGAGTAAAAAAAAAAAAAAAAAAAATAAAGAACAATGATTACGAACAGAGATAAAATTAAGACATTAGTGGAAACAGCATAAGAAAGTGGATGAGGGGTGTTATCCAACAAATGCAAAATATGGTATACAAAAATGACATAGAACAGACGGCTACATACAATATGTAATGACATAATTGTACACGATAACAATAACGTGTTAGGCTAATTATTCTCCATGCACGACGAAGATTGGCGATGGAAAAAATGCGCGAATGCGTACGATCACACAAACTGAAAGATCCGACATCCGACATTTTCCACACGCGTATATATAATTGAAATTTGAATGATTGACGAGCGCAACACGTGAATACACATACACATACAAACGCATGCAGTGGAGGCAATTGTTCCGAGGGCACAATTCTTCCACGCGTTAAGACGAACGTATCTCTCTCTCTCTGCTTCTCTATCTGTGAACGTCGGCGACGGAATACAAAGTGATATCGCGTAACACGGTATGAAACCGGGCTCTTGTACTCGAACGATCAGGCAGGAAGAGCCTGGCACGCAAGTTGACCTCTACTCTACGAAAGAACGGGGCTGAAGGTCAACAAACAAGCGTGGCGGCGGAGGGGAGATCAGATGAAGCGGGGTGGCGGGAGACGGCGGATTTTGTATCACAGAATCGCGACGCTTATTGGCTCGGCGTTTTTCGCCGGCAGCCAACTTCAGAGTGTTTCATCTCCCGTGTTCTCGCTAATCGCGAATTGCATCGATTTCACTTTTTCATAATAAGGTCACGGTTTGGGAGAAAAGATGTATGATGATACTCTTCTTCGTATTCCTTCGAGAGAGAACGATTTCTTATTTAGATAATTTTTCGTTGTTAAAAGAGAGAAAGAGAGAGAGAGAGAGAG